TCTCAAATGTACAGAAAGACGTTTGACCAGCAAACGTTCAAAAACCTTGGATAAAATTGGTGTAATTGAAATGGGCCTATATTCAGTAGGTGAAGACTGTAGTGGGCCCTTGGGAATAGGGGTAACATTACCAAAGCGCCAGCAATCCGGAAATGACCCTTTACGAACTAAAAGGCGTAAGATTACGGCTAATTTAGGAGCTAATTGGCCATTTAGTCTTTTAAAAATCAAAGGAAACAAGCCATTAGGGTCTACTCCACCATATTCATCTAGTTCAGATAACAGATACTTGATTTCAGAGGACCTGAAAGCAAATGAATTAAAGCATGGCAATGGGTGACATGAAGGAGGAAGTTCAATATCTTCTAAACTTTGTTTTGAAATAAAACAATCTGCTAACAAGGTAGCTTTGTCAAATGGAATATACGTAACACTACCATCAGGTTTCATTAAAGGAGGAATGGAAGACTCAAGACCAAACAGAGATGTTTTTAGTGTTGACCACCATTTATGCGGCTGTGAGGCTTGTGAGAGAACTTCTTTCAAGTGAGCATTATATTCAGATTTAGCCTCCTTAAAACATTAGTTGCTGTATTTCGCATGGCAACATAATTCTCCCAACAAAGACGAGTACGGTTAGCAGACCAGAGATTGTAGGCAGCATGTTTGTCCCTATAAGCCTGGTGACACGTTCATTAAACCATGCTTTATCATGTGAAGAGATTTCAGAGTTTTGCTGGGTACAAACTTCGTTATGATGTCCAACACAAATTGTATACATTTCGCCAACAATGCTATTAAAAGCATGGTAGACACCATTCCAGTTAATTCTAGATTTTAAGAAGACTTGTCTAGTTAGCGTAAAATCTGGCATAGGGAAGTCCAGCTGGATCTTACATGCTAGACTACAGTGGTCGGAAGAACCTATTGGCGCGATGGAGTCTACATCAACTACCCCTCTCACATCAGTCAGCAAAAGATCCAAAAGATTGCCACTCCTGCGAGTTGCACCACGGACTAACTGCTCACACCCAACCATCTGCAAAATCTAATGCAGAAATGCCATGTCGGTCAGTTGGGGACACAGAATTAAGCCAGTCTCGGTGGTGAGCATTAAAATCACCATAAATATAAAACAAGATTTAATATCATTCCCTTAAATAGAAATGTACGAAGTCAACAAACAATCATAAATACTGTCATCAGAGTTAGGACTTCTATAAAGACTAAAAATGTAAAAAATATTAAAACGACTACACACTCTCACAACCATGTATTCGTGACAACCACATTCATACTTTGTAAAACGACTAGCATTAAATCCAACTCTAGAATATAAACACAAACCTTGGGCTCGAGGCATGGAATTCCTACGTAGCAACAAGGGTTTATTAAAATTGGGTAAAAGTAACTCTGACGTGTGCCTCATGTCTGAAACCAGAGTTTCAGCACAACAAATAATGTCAAATTTTGCCGAGATAACTGTAAGTTCATTCAAATTCCCGTGAAGGCCACGAATATTACTAAAAAGTAAATTACAATACTTTGGACGGCAAGGACCAGGATTCAACTCAACATCACCAGACAACAAAACAACAATTCCACATAAAAATAACAAAAACATATATTTGAGAAAGAACTCAATTACACAAAACCAGAGATTCTTAGCACCCCTGACCACTGAAGCCTGCTGGGAC